CTTGGGGCCCACAGCAGCCAATTCTTTCCCCTACACTGCAACCCCCTCCCCCAGAAAGCAGCCGTGGCCAGAGAGGGATGCCCGGAATGGAGAGGGGTTCAGGCCAGACCTCTTGGCTGGCTCAGTTTCCTGCTTCTTCAAAGAACTGGGTCCCTCGGCAGGCCGGGAGCCTTGAGGTCTTTCTATCTACCCACAGTGGCTGCGTGCAGGTGGGCCCTCCCGGGGCGGGGGGGGGGGGGAAGCCTCTGATCTTCCACCTGCTGCTGGGTATCCTCCCCTCACCCCCCCATGGGCCCCCTTGGAGGGCTGGGGCTCAGAGGCAGAGGGCCAACCAGTGGGGTCAATCCCACACATACACTCCCTAACAGGGGCCATGGCGGGCCCTGCTCCGTCCTGCTTCCCACGCTCCTGGCAAGCGAGGGCACCTTAAGCCGTTCCTGGTTGGCTGTCTTTGTCCTTCCTCGGCCCTGCACCTCAGCAGCCCGCGGAGACACACGCTTTTTCTCCCGGTTGGTGTTGCAAGCCGATCAGTCCCATCCTGGCCCTTCTATAATCATCATCTTCTTCTTCTGCTTCTGCTTCTCCTTCTGCTGCTGCTGCTGCTGCTGCTGCAGGGCAAGGGGGTTTCGGGACCAGCCTCGGCATGCACCTTGTCTCTGTCTGGTGGAGGGGGCCGGCTCCCTGCAGGCCCTTCCCTCAAGGGAGGAAGGGGGTCTTCTCTGCATGCAAATAAGGAGGGCCCCACTGCAGGAGGAGGAGCATCAACAGCAGCGAGGCTCCCAGGAGGTCCCTTCCTGGCCAGGGGGAGCAGCTACACCTCAATGATGTTCACAGACGGTGACTTCTTCTGTGGTGGAGGAGAGGAGACGAGAGGAGAGGTTGTCAGGCAAGGAAGCGTGAGAAAGGAGCCCTGGGCACAAGGGAGGAGCCAAGACACGGCCTCCCTGCGGACGGATCCATTTGGGGGGGGGGACCTGAGCGCTACCTCCCAAGGGAAAAGCAGGTCTCCTTTAGGCACCCTTTAGGCCAAGGGCTGGACAAGAAGGCAGAGGAGAGAGAGAGAGGTCTTCTTCTGGGACCCTCTGTGGAGAAGAAAGAGGAAAACAAGCTCTCGGTCTTAATTCTCAGGCCTTCTTCTTTGTGGGGTCGCCCAGTGAAGCCGAACGGTCGGAGTGCCAAAGCAGACACAGTGTTGGACAGCTGGACAGCTGGCCGGCTGGCCAGCCTTTGAAGGGACTGGGGCAATTCGGGGAAGGCGGTGTAACCGCTATCCTCACAGACTTTTGCCCTTCCCACCCGGGATCCCGGCCGACTGCTGTGGAAACAAGGGGTGGCTGTTCTGGGCTGTCCCGTCCCCTTCTCCTGACCGACACCCTCCGGCAGGGCCCCTTTCTGAGCAGCCCCGCGCAGCCCTGGCGAAGAGCACACCACAAAAGCTGGTCCAGGGCTTGTCCGGTGCTGCTGCTGCTGCTGCTGCCGCCGCCTCTGCTCTTCTGTTGTCCCTCAGCCACTATTCTTCAATCATCTCAGAACTTCTTTGGGCAAGATTTTGGGAAGTGGGATGGGGGCTCAGTGTGTATTTGTGTGTGTGATGCTGAAGCCCTACCCCCACTGGCATAGCATCCGGCAGCATCCACGTCTCTCTCCTGCTTGACAACGTTGCTCCTCTGACACACACACCCCACAGCCCACAGCAGTCTGGAGCTCCTGCCTGCCCCCCTCCAGGAGAGCTTCCCCACTCTGGCCCACCGATCCAGAATGGCGGGGTCCGGAGCCCTCTGTCTGGGCTGGGGTCAGCCCGGTATCCCTGGAGAGGGAGGGGGCAGGCCCCCCCCAGGAGCAGTTCGTTTCCCCCCTCCCTCCTTGGGCCAGACTGACCTTGCTGCGCAGCAGCCCCCCTGCTGGCGGGGGCCGCTCGGGGGTGCTGGGTCCAGAAGAGGGCTTGGCTTTCTCCTTGGTGTTGTTGGTAGAGTCGCTGTCCTTGATGATGTCGTACTGCTTGCAGAAGAGGGCGATCACGGCTGGAGAGGGCCCGGCCCAGTGGGAGGGGAGGGAGAACAGGGTTAGGCCAGCAGTCATGGTACCCCTTCCTCCCTCCGCAACCCTCAGCACACTCCTCATCATGCTCTGACGCCCCACCAGGTGGTGCCCCCTCTCACCTTCCCGTCCCCAAAGCCAGGCTCCTCTAGCTCAGGAGAGTCGCATCCCCCCCCCCCGCGCTGGCCTCCCTGGATGGTGCTGAGAGAGTGGCAGAGGTGGGGCAGGGAGGGGGGCTCCTTCTCCCCAACCTCAAGGGACTGCCACTCCCTGGGGCTGGGAGCAGGGGGGGGCAAGGAGCAGCCTTCCTGAACCTCTTGGACCCCAAGCCCCTTTGGCCCCCGCTTGCTTCCCTGCCACTGGGTGGGAGAGAGGGCCGGCCTCGTCTCCCCGCACGCATGCAGCACAGAGCCTGCAGACAGAGGGGCCCAAATCTTCCATGTGCTTCCCTTTGGGCTTCCCTCGTTTGGCTCCCTGACGCTGGACCCAGCGAAGCCCTGCAGAGCCCTCAAAATGATCTCGCCAAAAACTCAGGGTTAAAGAAGCAGACGACGATCTGGCTACTGCAAGAGCAGGCAGCGCAACCACCTAGCGTGCTTGAGAAACGAGAAAGGTCCTTGGGCAGTTTCCATCAGCAGACGCCCTGGTCAGCCTCCTCAGCAGGAGACAGCCCAGGACGAGAAAGAGAGGATCCCATCGTCACCCTTCCCCAGACCTTTTGGTCTTCTGAATGCATAAATCTGAAGGGACCTCTTTTTTTGGATCCTTCCTGAATCTAATGTATTTCAGAGGCTGTCTCTCATAAAGCCACAACAGACTCTGAAAATGAGAGAAACTGCCTGTTTCTGAGTTTTTCCTTCTTCTTCCATGCAGGAAGAAGCTGAAAATCCCTGTCTCCCCCCCCGCACTGCCCTGCTGTGCTCTTTGTGGCCCCACTGCACCCCCGCAAGCTCTTCTCCCTCCCCACCTCCTTGCAGGTCCCCGGCCTCTGCGTTCTCCCCTGCGAAACAGGCTCGCCTTTGAGGCCCCCCAGAGCTTCGTTATCGGAGGGAAGGGTGTTGAATAAAGCCATGGGAACCCCCAGGCTGGGGCTGAATAGTGCAGGACTGGTTAGTTTTATAGAGGGAAGTCACATCTGATTGTGGGGCGGGGGGGGGGAAGCAGGGATGGGGAAAGCCCCACCACCACCGCCATCAGCCTTCCAACTGAGAGGGACTCACCTGCCCACATGAGGAGGACGGCCACAATGATGACAATCTCCCCCGTCTGCAGCTGCCGCTCCTTATCCAGACCCTCCATGGTGATGTCTCCTGCTGAGACAGAGGGCGCAGGAGTTTCACTGGGGGGGGGGAAACCTGGCTGCCCTTCCCACCCACCCACAGGGCCAGGGAGGAATCTCCCTCCCTGCCCTCCTCCCCCATGGCTCCAGAGGGAATCGGTCCTGCCTCCAAGGGGTGGGGGGGCAGTTTGGAACATTAGGATAGCCCCCCCCACCTGGAGTGCATCTCTTTCTCTTTCTCTCTCTCTCACACACACACACACACACACACACACACACACACACACACCGGCCATCCCATGGCCGGCCACTTCACCAGATCTCCAAGGGCTGTTGGGCCAAAGGGCCCCCCCCCAGGAGAAGGGCTGACGGGCGGGACAGGACGGGGCCCTCTCGGCTCACCCTGGCTGGAGCTGTTGGAGGGGAGGCGGTCGCTCTGCTTGAGGGTCCGGAAGTGGACCCGCTTGCTGGCCTGGCTCTCCCCATGGAGGCCGATGCTCTGCACCTGGATGACGTAGTCGGCGTCCTCCGCCAAGTCCCAGAGTACGCAGGCCCGGTTCGTGGTGTTCACCTC